AGGTATGTCGACATAAACAACAACTGACTTTCTAATCCAAACCAAAGATGGTATCTACGTCGACAATGTTTAGACACTGATTGTTTTTCGTTTGGGTTTTCATTAGTCAGAGCACAAAATATTTTCACTGTTCATATGCTAAGCTGTAAACCATAGGAAATTGTTTTATATTTTGACGTGATTTGATGAAATATCTTGATACAAAACTGTTCTGCATTACTGTATTGCAAATTTGTTCAACTCTCAAATAATGTGTACATTATTTTCATTTTGTGAGCAATGAGAACGAAATCAAACATTCTGAAATCATGACGTGTATGTTCCGGTTAATTGCTGCAGCTTACTTTTTTATATATCTTCCAATTTATCAATACATGAGGGATTCTTATTATTCTATTGATAACCTTGGCTGGCCAAAATCTTCACTTAATTCTATATTAAATCAACGCCACGTCGATTGTGATGAGAGAATGGAGCAACTGTTTTGGTCCTCAACTTTATAATTCTTAAAGCCGAACATACGATAACTGCGAGGAATTACGTTCAACGCCTAACACCCAGAGAAGATCAGAAATGGCGGATGCGGGGATAAATGGTCACTGTATATAACCTATTGGTTTTCAATTTCATGTTCGTTTTGGAAACAAAAGGAGGCTAGGTGACCCGTGTTAATTCTGGGAATCGTGGTCTCTCAGTTGATCCAACTTTCTTTTGAAGGGATCGATAGATGAAGCTTCAATCGCGTGTTGAGTTAGTGAGTTTCACTCGTTGGTGATTCTATGGGAAAGTTGATAGTTAACTAACAAGTGATTTGTTCTGGGCTTGTTAACATTTTTGAGTGTCTTCGTAAATTCTCTGTTTTGGAAGACAAAAACAATGAGGACATACCAGATGGAAACACATTTAGTTTAGCCAGTTGAGCGTCATTCAGGAGCTTTGCTATTTCAGTAATCAGTTTGGTTGCTGTTCTCTGAAACTTTTCCTAAAGGTCACTGTCCTTCTTAAGCAGCGGCTAGCCACTTGAATGCAGTACTCGGGTTTGGGACGCATGAATGCTGTGTTTCAGCGTCGACATGGCTGAGAGCCCCACATATTGAACATAAGGTTCTAAGACCTTTGACGGATATCGTACAGCAGTGTGCAGCAGTATTTAGGTCTTAGATAACGATGGCGCCTGAGTCATTATGTGTTTGGACATTAAACAGCTCACTGTTATTCACCTTTTATGTATCTGTACCTTGATTAGTAATATTCGTCTCAATGCACCTGGAAGTATTTATCGGCAAAGGCCAGGTTTGAGACCATCCAGATAATTTCTCCAGGTCATTTGGGATTTCTAAGCTATCACCCTTACGTCTTATCAGTCTCCATACCTTGACATCGTCAGAATATAACAAGACCGATGATGAAAGGAGGAGAGAAGAGTCACACATAACACTGGCACCAAAACTGTAGGTGAGGTGATCCGCTAAGCACAGGTAAACAGATAAATAACATGGACTTCACCAATATTATTTATTGGCGCCCAACATTAGTAAATCATTTACAACCCCGAAATCTTTTGACTTATATAACAGCCCGCTGTCAGGAACTTTGTCAAAAGCTTTGCTGAAGTCAAGGTAGGCTGCGTCCACAGGTGAATTTTGGTCTTTAAGAGCGCACCAGCTTTCAAGAGCCAATATTAGGTTAGTGAGACGGGAATAACCTGTTCTCAATCCATACTGTTTTTCAGAGAGAATCCGGTTTTCATCAAAATAATCAAACAGCTCCTTATGAATAATCTTTTCTAAAATTTCAATAACCACAAAGGCTAAGCTAACGGATCGGTAGTTCTCAGGCTTATGTTTCCTATGTATTTTGATGACAGGACCTACTATGGCGTTCTTCTGGTCTTTTGGCAAACGACCATAGGTCACCGATGGATTAAAACATATACTTAAGAGATTCACGTCGAAATTTCCCAGTATCCTTAATGACAGATGGTGAATTTCATCGAGTCCCATAGATTTGCCTATATTAAGCTTATTTAGCAAACCAAAGACATCGAGTTCTTTATTGGTCACAGTGTCCAGTGTGTGTGTTTGTGTGGATGCCTTGTATGAACTGACGGGAAGTGTTTCTCTACGGCATATACATTGCTAAAGTAGTTTGAGAATACCTGGGCTTCACCATAGCCATTCTCCACTAACGACGAGGCATTACTGTCTCCCTTTAGTGCTGGAATATTTCCTCTTCATTCAGTCCCTTGGCTTATATACGAATACAAGCGTTTAGGCCATTCTATGGATTCCTTAACAGTTTCTCCTTCGTACAACCTAAACCTACGGAGGGTCGAGGTATAAGTATTCCGAGCCTCTCCATATTGAAAATTTGTCTCAGCAGTCCACAGTGACCTAAGTCTCTCTCACCTCCTTCTCCTCTCACGAAGAAGGGCGCGAACCTTCATACTGAACCATGGAGGGGAGTTTCTCGAATCTCTTAGTGCAGTCCAAGGGATGTGGGGTGCAGTGACTTTTAAGTACAAACTTCGAAATACAACTCAGACTTTCAATTGGGAACTCTAGATCTATTGTTCAATCTACCGACGATGCCATATAACATCTTGCATGCTTGTTATCCAGACGATTGATATAATCCGGGTTGACACATTCTGGTTATTGAAAACTATATGGAAGTCGAAGCTTAGAACTGCATGATCACTTTTACCTAAGGGTAGCATGTAATCGAGGTTTGTAATGTCATCCCCATAATAGGTTAATGTAAAATCTAGTGAAGATGATTCAGCATCCGGGTCATACCTAGTCGCTTCTTTCACGTGTTGCTCTAGGGCACATGTGATAACCGCATCAACTAGTTCCTTTCCGAAGGAATTCAAGCCTCAGACTTTTCGGTGGGTGTATTAAAGTCTCCTAGGATTAGACATCGACCACTTTTTGACCATATATTGATACCGCCTAGTAATACCCCACTTACCTCGCAGCTCGGACTACATTAAAACAAACCAATTCGCAGCCCTTGTCCCTTGCATTTCAAGTGGCAACCAACTAATTCGCACGTCTCACTCATGGAATACACTGTTGACAATGGTAAATGGGGTAGTATTCTTAATGTATAGAGCCATTCCTCTGAAGATGCCACAGATATTTGGATTTTGACAATGCTTTGACCAGTAACACCTTTTGATATGAATCGTACCCACTAAGTGAAATCAAAAGACAGAAGCGAGGAGGTTCAATGATATATTTGATAGGCTTTCAATATATCGTGGATCGACTGGTCTAATCTGGTTAGCGATTGCAGGGGGTGTTGAGCACGTCGTTCTCACTCGTGATTTGGTGCGGATGCGTGACCGAGCGCCTTCAGCTAGGTGGGTCCATTAAAACTAGTGTGGTCAGCATCCAATGTCGAAGACTTACAGAACTATTTATTTTGGGGATTTATTTACCGCTACACCTCCTTTACGCTTCTGGATTCTGTCGGCTCTCACTGACGTGAAACCTTCAAATCAAATTCCATACTGTATATAGACTGAATCGACCGAGTTTCTGTGACTGCGATTACATCCGGTTTGGCAAAGTCTAGCTATACACCCAGCTCCGATCACTTGTTGTGCAAGCTTCGAGCATCTGTATAACAGATCTGAAGTCCATTTAAATAGCCTCGTGCTGCACCCAGAATGGCTTCGGAATCATTCTCTGTCGAGGCCTCGCCACCCGAAAATTTACAATTTTTAGGTCCTTTCCGCCAGCATTAAACCTAAGTTTTGGTTCTTTTTCAGTTTAAAGGCGTTATTCTCCTTTCAGTCCATAATGTATCATTCTAAACTCTTGAAGCCACCAACTGTGAGAATTGTCACATCGACTTGGAGAGCATTCCAGTCAGGATTGGCCCATAATGGGAAAAGCGATTGTGTCGCCCAAACATCCACTGTGCTAATTACCGACGGTTAACTCAAAAAGTACGGTGATAGGGTTCGGGGTAGACTGGAGTGTTCATTGTGTTGTATGACGTTACTGGGTCATCTCTTATTCGTCTACAACTTAGCAAGGGTGCCCTGTGATGAAAAAGTTGATTTTTAGAAGTTCGGCTTGTCAGTCCTAAGATCCACTTTGTTCCCTACATTCTTTTCGGAGAGGAGATGGAGCGGTGTTATGGAATTCGAGTCATGGGTGGTGCAAGTCTTGACAAGTGTTGAAAGGAACTCAGGAGCCAGCATGTCTAGCTGTCTGAGAACAAGGTGAGGAATAGCTTTGGCCTCAGTTATATCTCACGGATTATTGCTGATGTCATCGAATTTCATTAGTACGACACATAAGTGGCACTCCAAATCGATTCTAGTGGGGTTTAAGCAATAGAGGAAACAGTTGTCCCGATTTTCTTTGGTAGTTCAAAATAACATCGTTTTGAACTTTCTGAAGTTAAACCTCAAAACGTTGTTTCGCGTTCACTCTTCAAACGACACAAAATCTCTTCTAAGTTCTAATGAATCACCATCATTTTCGACAGCAAACCATAACTTGATTTCATCCACATGGATGGCAACTGATGAGATGAGGCTTTTTGGGAAGTCATGATAAATATGAGGGACAAAAGGGGTCCCATATGGCTTCTTGTGATACTCCAGTTATGGACTATTGGCTTGAATATGATTTGTTAAGTCTGGTTTAAGGTGAGTCGAAGTAATCTGAAGAAAGTCAGGATCGCATCAGAGATGTTGAGCGAAACCCCAAAATTTTGACTTGTATTTACTAGATTAAAAAAATGTTAAGGCCCATTTGAAAATCGCGCTTCAGCCAGTATCCTACGTGGAGTGCTTCATTTTAAAGTATATAACTAATTCATTTAAGCCGAGGGAATTAATCACTCAATTTTTGATAAGTTATTATTTAAGATTGTCTGTTTGAATTTTTCTTTCACTGTGTTGAATGTTATAGCTTTGAGTCAGTGTGCCGTGGCTATCTCTTTGATTTCCAATCTCGGGTCGTTTCTTTCTCAACGCAATGAAAGTCACTTTCAAAACATTAATGCAACAGACATTTGTTCTTGACTTTCAAGAAGATGATCTGGTAATTCACAGGTTGGTGTGATATTGTACGTAGGTTGGCGACGTTAAAAAGAAGATCGAAGCTAAATGGGGCAGTGAATTCGATGCAAAGACTCAGAAACTAATACACTCAGGTAAATTATCGGTTATAGCTTGTTACATTACTTAGGCAAGGTGATGGAAGATAGTAAATCGCTAAAAGACTACAAAGTGACAGAATCTGGTTTCGTTGTAGTAATGTCTGTTTCAAAGCCATCCAAAGATACAACGAAAGAAGCTAGTGCTTCAGTCCAAATTAATCCTACTGGTGAAACAAAGCAAACAACAGACAAAAAGAGCCCCGTAACAGAAGCAAATGAAGCTCCGAGCAGTAAAGCAGACTCAAATCCCCAATCTAACTTACCTACAGTTACAACAGCCCCATCTAGCACAACAAATACTTTGGGTTTTGGAGAGAGTTCCTTAGTTACCGGAGAGAACTTTGAGCGGGTTGTAAAAGAACTAGTGTCCATGGGTTTCGAGAGATCACTGGTCAGTCTCTTGTAAAATAATAATGACAAATTTAGGTTATCCAAGCAATGCGAGCAGGCTTCAACAACCCAGATAGAGCATTTGAATACCTTTCGTCGGGAAATATTCCAAATGTTGACATTGTTGATCAGCCACCGCAAAGGGAAGAAATCGAAAGTGTATCTCCAGAAGGGCCTGGGGATACTGATACCCCAGGCTCTGAGTCTCTTGGCTCAGAAGACCCGATCACTGCACTCGCAAGTTTACCCCAGTTTCAACAAATGAGAGCGCTAGTACAAGCAAATCCAGAGCTACTGCCTCAGCTAATCCAGCAAATAGGGAATGATAATGCAGATTTATTTAGAGTACGTTTTTCTTTAGCACTTTCTCACGAATCTTTATAATCAGTTTTCATAATAATTATGCAAGCATTTACTAGTTGCAGACTAATCTCGCAACTAGGATTTTCCGGCAACTTTTCAGGGTTTGGCGTTATATCTAGATCTTAGATTCATTAATTGTTTTTCCAAGTCTCATGGGTATGTGCCACTATCACCGTTAATCAGGTTCACTTTTGAGGTTACTCATGAGTTATGCAGTGTTACATATGCTTTAAACGTTTTACTTCTTGGTCGTGTTCGCAGCTAAGTTTTGTATGGCTAAATGTACTAAATCTTCATATCAGTGTTGGTGAAATCGAGATACAAAATGCTTTGACCTGGCTTTGTTAGCACCTCATTCTGGCTAACCCATTTATTCTCCTGAAGTGTTTTTTCGTTCCAATCGTTTTTTATAGCCCTTCAGCTTGTGCAATATGCATGTTCCATTAAAGGGGATACTCTCAATAATGTCAAATATCCACTGTTGATAAAATAATTAACTATTCGAATGATTCAATATTTTTAGTAGTAATGAGCATACAGTTTATACTTATATGATTGTAATCTTAAAATATGTAACTTATTTAGCTCATTCAAGAAAACGAACAAGCATTTCTGGAATTTATTAATACCCCAGTCACTGGTACTACTCGACCTGGTGGTGAGCGTCAAACTGTTCTTACTATGACTGCTGAGGAACGCGCTGCTGTGGACCGTCTAAAGGCATTAGGGTTCCCGGAGGAGTTGGTTATCCAAGTAAGTTTTCAAGAAATGTATCCATTGTCAGTAGTTTCTCTCGAAACATTATAATAGGCTGTTTCTATTCCAAGTATTTAATTACATATTTCGCTCAATTTTTTATAAATTATCAGGTAAGAGTTTGTCTACTTAATTTCGAGTCTTTAAGGATTGACGAATCTAATCGACTGCTTCACCAAATAAGCCATCGTTCGTGACATGGCAGAAATGTGATGAAACTTCACTGGAAGCAATGCTATTGGTAGGATGGTTTCAGATCGTTTTTTAGGCTAGCTTATATTGGGCCACAACTAAGTCTTTACCGTCCAAAGTATTCTCATTGTCCTAATCTTGTCTATACTAATAAGAAGTGAAATCCTGGAAAGGGAACTGAATTTCAATGCGGTAAATCAAGGAATAATTATATGAACAAAAACTCATTTACTGGTTTATCTAGAATTTAAAGCCGGTAATCAGGAGACTGCGACTACACATTTTGTTTCAGTTAGACCATCTTTTAACTGTAATTCAATTAGTAGAAATAATATATGGTAATCTTAGCATCAAAATGCTGAATGCTCACTTGAAAACCGGATATCCTATTCTATTTTTTAATTTGTATCTCAATTGACACTTCCTTATATGCTGTTGACAATCAAGAAGCAATGATCATCCATATTTTCAATATCACTGTCATCTTTTGTTTGTTCTTTAGTATTTTATCACTTATCTCATAGACACTATATTTACTCTTGCCGTCATTCCCATTGATTAGTAACTATTTACATGAAAGTCCAGAAACCAGTATTTAGATATCTTTTTGAGTATAAATGACTCATACAGCTAGTTTTTATATGATACAAACCCAATAAAAAAAATTGTCAAGAACCAAACATAAACACCGGTAAATTAAGTTTTTAAAATACTTCGTTTACTCTTTGCGATATCATTAGAAGCATTGTCTTTCCTCACAAATATAGAACAAGCAGTCTTCTGTTAGACGCTAGGCTGATGATATTACGAAAATGTAAGCATGTTCACTTGACCAAGTGTGTTAGGTTACATAAACTAAGTAAATAATAGAGCGTACGTCATTTTCAAACATAACACAGTATTTTCATTAACCATCATTTATTTCGAGCATTGTTTTCGTTTTAACCGAGGTATGACTTACAATAGTTAATATATTTAAGTTGTTTTTGAGCTGTTACGTGCTTACTGCAGATAAATTTACCTTCCATATAGTCCAAGTTAAGCAAGCCTAAGCAAGTTTTATTTACTTTATCTCTGTACCAATGATTCGTTTCGTGGCACTTTATTATGTGGGGTTATGGCATTTACCCTTAATCTTTTTTGATTGCAGGTTTGAATTTTTCGATGGTTATCCGTACTTGATTCCTATAATTTCCGTGATTTCTATCCCCTAGTGAAAACTTCTAGTAGTGATAAGGCTATTTGGTGTGTGAAGAACATAATCACGGAACTAAATTTGCTTTGATGCTATACGTCACATCCAGTTTCAGAAGCTGTACCTAGTACTATTTTGCTATGGGAGTAGATCAAAGGATGTCAGGTTCGACCGAAAAAGAAAGACAAGGAGATTCAAGCTGAAGCTTTTGGTTATACACATATACATTTTGAAATTTTCACATCAGTCACTTTTTGTTAGCTTATTAATTGTGTATTTTGTTTGTTTAACTGATTATATTCGCTAGATTGCATAGTTTACAAAACTATACAGGGGGTCATCGAAATACACCCAATTACTATGAAATAACCATCATTCTATCATATCGTTCCTTAGCATCTTTCTACCGACTTTTAGCGTCAGCTTACGACGCAAGCTTTAAAAGCTCTTAAAACAAGATTGATCAATGTTGATGTCCCAATAGAACAATTCTTGTATCATGTTCACCGTTAAGCTCAAGCATTTTTCGCACAATGACCTCAGTTTAAGTGTTGGTATAGAATAGGGAGAATTCAGTGATAATAATTTAACATAGAATCATCGAACATCTTTAACTCGATGGGGTCAGTGTTGAAGAGCATATAGCGGAACTTCTCTTAACCTTAGTTTTGTACATGTGACATTTTGTATTGAAACCGTAATATTTAATTTAGTGTTGGTAAACTGAACTCTAACTGTACTACTCCATACCTTGTTCCACTTCTTAAAAATCCAAATCGTAATTTCGTATGATCATAAACCATAGTGTTTGCTACTGGTCGTTTGTTTCTATGTATCTGTAAAATCGCTTCCTAATAGGTCACATAACTTGGGGAGTTAACATTCGCAAACTTGGTTGATTGCTTTGTGATATCTGTTGTGTATGGCAGGTCTATCAAGACGAACTCGTACATCATAATTGTATTTGGTTTCATGTAATGAGTGGTCACTTCTGTCTGGTTAATTTTTGACAATCATCTTTCAATTATGCTGTATATTTTAAAGTTTTCAAAGCATAGGTCAATCGCAAACAACATAAAATTTAACACAAACTTGTCCCAGCGTGATTTATCACAATTTACAGCAGCACAATGACAAAAGCGTCATTTGGGAACAGCAGATTGTCCTTTATCAGTTTAGTGGTAAAGTCTGAAAAAGAAACGATACATTTGCTGAATTAAAGATTTCACGGGTACACGCCACGTACGTAAATTACATAAATGAATCATATTGATGATTTTGTAATCAATTTTTATAAAAATTTGTTCCACAGAGTACGGTAATGATGTTTTAACCTATTTTTTCGTAGGCATATTACGCATGCGAGAAAAATGAGGATGCAGCTGCGAATTTCCTGCTTAGTGAAAGTTTAGACGATGAAATGGTATGAAGTTTGATGTAAATCATCGTTTATAATTGCTAATACCTTTGTGATGTTAGTTCTGGTTGGAGCGTCACTAACACATTTTTAACAAATCCACGTCCTTTTTATCCTCTGCTTTACAGCCTTAAAATAATCACTTATTATCCACCCATCCATTTCCCGTGTTTATTTTCACCAATCCACATTATTGAAAGAAGTGGTTGAAAAGAATATGCTTATTAAAAAATTGTACCGATAGTACTACTCTGTTTAACCATATTCATCAAAGGCTGAATTTAATGAACGTGTTCTGTTTTTTTTTCTGGTAAAGATCATTATTATGTTTGTCAACGAAGTATGTGTTTATATAATGTAAACTGTTCTTTACTTTTCTGATCCGACTGCATCCAAATGGTGATTAACTTTGATCCTTTTTTACACTAGTTATGTGAGATATAAAAATTCACACTGAATCAAAATACCTGGCGTTCTTGATTCAAGCAAATTTGTTAGTTTTTGAGTAAAAATTAGTTGAAAAAATTAAGGATATCAAGAACACTTAAAAATACATATATTATGAATAATGAATAAATATTTTCATATATTTAGCCTACATGTTTGCATTTTACTGTTGTATCATTGATGTCCCAAAGGAGATTTTTAATTATAATCAATTCAGTACATTATAACTAGTCAATTAGTATGCATCAATTACCTGTGTGTTTGCATCGTTTTCTTTGATTTGTGAAATCAAGTTAACTGTTTCTTCACAGCCGTATATAAAAGTCTAATTATTGTAGAAAGAAAATAAACCAGAATGCTGAGATTGTCTATTTTTGTTGGAAAATTTATAGAAATCAGTAACCTAAAACAACTTCAACTAATTTCCATTAATATTCTAATCAAAGAACAATAAATTTCGCTGTTCATTTTCAGTATAAGTAAATGACAATTTTCTTTCTTTATGGTTTCAATAATGTAAGAGATCCTAGCTTTTGTTAGAAGCTACTAATGAACATCAGTTTGTTATTGCTCAATATGATGGTTTACTTCGAAGATTCAAATGATTTTCTGAGTAGTCGTTAAGACCTTGATGTATCAAAGACAATTGAATAACTGCCCTAGTATAAGATCCGACAGTGGTGCACATTTTCCAAATGATAGGAATGTTCTATAAATGATTTACATCTTTTTTCAAAGGAAATCTGTCCACGCTGATAAGTAATAACACTAGTTTACGAGTTAACGTAAATTGTTAGGTAATAATAAATCGAAGTTTACAACTAAAAAAGGGTTCCTAGGTTACTTCGAAATGATGATTCAAGATTTATACTCGTCCCAAATCACGCGATGTATAGAGAATGTGTAAGTATAAATAAAATTAATTCACATTACAGGTTTAACGACTGTATACTTTATGATAAGAAATAGATTCATTAAGCATACAGTTGCCATTAACATACTAACTGGTTGTCTAATCAAGAGTGTCAATTAATTAACGTTTATGAATCATTAAATGGGTTTCGGTATTCGAAACATCCTGTATTTGCTATGAGGTTTATAAAACAGTCTAAGCCCCTAGATTTTTATTAAGTTTATTCATAGGGAACATTGTTGGCATTTGTGACAATATTGAATTAAGGAATACTATGGTGTTAGTCTTTTGGTGGAAACCAAGTTTAATACCAACAGTATCACTGACCAGGGTACTACCATATATCTAGACATCTAATAGGTTTTTCTTCTATCTTATAATATAAAGCCGAAACCAACAGAAGCTTTTTTCATACAGTATTGTCTGACTGGGGAAGGTTTAAGTACTATTGTTGCCCCAAGTGCAAAGCCAGTAGTGTAGTGTTTAACTTTTTTCTGGTTAAGATCTTTATGCTTCCGTTTAAAATAAAAAAAATTAACTTGGTGAGTCCAGGTTACCTCTTTTCAGAGGTGATCTCATTCTTTCCCTATTGTTTAGTACTTCATGATAAGTACATGTTTACCTTAACATGGTATACATAAACTCGTAACAACTTGGTGACTGGTACATCTAGGATGGATTTTGTGCCTCTTCCAAAGTGGTCATAAATAAATGTATCTTACTGTAAAGTAATTCTGAAAATATTATTATTTGCTTACTATTATGAAAATTAATTTAATTATTATCTAAATGATAAGATAAATCTTGTTTTGCAATAAGTAATTAAAGTCACATGAAAGGATTGTATTTATTTCAGATGATTTTAGTACGTATTTTTATTTCTCCGTACTTATGATGGTCGACAACTTTTTAAATGTAATAAATCATATGAATTCTTAAATGTAGTCTATTATTTTATTTTGTTATGGATTTACTGACAGTTATCTAATGAATTGAATCGTACTAAATTACTGTTTCTTCTTAACTGGCGCTTCACCAGCAGCATAAAACCTGTCATAATCTGGTTTCATCAGTTGATTACGGTTTGGATTTTTGACGAGTTGGATTATGAAGAATACACTGGTTAATTAACCCAAAGTTCTTCGATTAATGTGGAAGATAAAGTGGTTCATTTAAATAATGAAATAATTGTACTATGAGGACAAGTCAATAGGATACTTGTGATTTTGAAGCCACTTTTCACCCAATGTGCAGAGAGTCTACCAATCAAAAGTATTTCCTATCAGAATTCATGAAACGTGGTAGAGTTTAGTGTTTTCAGGAAGCTTAATTTTTCTAGACTTTTCATCAACTTTTCAATTTTGATATTGTAGTAATATGGCTGCATACCTGATTATTGCTGATGAAGATATTCTTCATCGTGAAAATATCCGAACTAAGAGTTTCTTTCTGAATCTTATCCATAGCTATAAATAGTGTTATAGAAAATTCATCATCATCAGACAAAATCTTTATTTGTAAATTCTGCGTAGGATTACGAGGTTGGAACTGCGTGACAACAATCATATGAAGAACTCATAAGTAGAAACCGTTATCTATTTTGTCATCCCTACTTTACTAGCTCACCTATTATTAAGTGAGGACGTCGGTTGTTAGATCTTATTGTGAGCAAAGAAAAAATTTCGTTAATTTACATGTTATATGCTGTCTACATTAGAATAAACGTTTAGTTGACACGTTTAACACTTATTTTACAAAGGTATTTGTGCTCCGCTTTTTATGTGACGTAATGTAAGATTCACTCATTCTCGTACTTTGAGCAAATGTTGAGTCGTTTTCTTGATTTTGAATGACTCGTCTCCTTATTATAATTACGTCATCATACTGGCAGTTATTTTATTCATTTCGTACATGTCCGCCGAATTATTTAAGGTTATGACTTAATTAATATCATTTAATTTGACCAACAGTTCAAGATTTAAATCTGTCTATTCGAATAGATTTCATGCTGTTCTGATATTATTTTAATCAGTCGATCGGTCAGCTACAACGTAGGACCAGGAACATAGATTCATCGTTCCTAGTTACCGTACCTCATTGGCATAGCAAGATGAACACCAAATTCAAAGTAAGAGCTAATTCAATGGCAGTTAAAATTGATTTCACAGAAGAATGTTGTATATATATAATTCTACGAAGTCTATGAATATACTGCTTATTTTTACCTAAACAATTAAAAATTTGTCACTCGGTTTATCTATAATGATCATGAAATTGCGGTATTAAATTCTTTTTTATAGCTTTATACATACTCATCATACTAGCTATTTTCTATGAACTCGTAGTACCTGGATTATTTCTGAAATCAATTTTTTTAGTCTAAAGGGGAGAATCAGTCAGTAACAACGTAGAACTTCGTACGTACGTACGTACATCAGTTCGAGTTGCCACACCACATTAGCACAGAGATGCAGTTGTCGATTCAAATCCCGTAGTGGTAGAGGTAGCAAGAGTATAAGCAGTAATCGGGAAGATTAGGGTTTGGAGATGTTATTTAAAGAGTATAATCCAGTGAAATAAATTTGGAAAGAGAAAAAAAAGAGACAAGGAGATCAAAATTTGGGAGAACACAAAGAGTGGATGCACCTGCGCCATTGCAAACGATTTTGAGCCATGTCATTCAGGGTCTCTAACCATCGGTTGCTATCATCTCGCGGTCCCCAACCAGGTAGTCTACACCTACCAACATGACTCAGTCCACTTGTCAGTGACTTCATGGACTTGTGCCATGTTTTGGTTGGCCGCCCCTAGCTTTCTTCCAACCTACTCCTATACCACTGAACATAGCACGTCGAGGCAGTCGGTCGTTGGGCATACGTAACACGTGTCCCAGCCATCTCAACTGATGAAGTTTCACTACGTCATCAATTGATTTGCCATCCTTACCTAGTACCCGTTTCCTAACAACTGTGTTACTTACTCGATGGTCCCATGATATACGAGCAATATTTCGAAGACACCTATGATCAAATACTAGTAACCTACGAATATCCTCTACTCTTACCGGCCATGTTTCACTGCCATAAAGTAGGACGGAACGAACTGCTGCGCAGTAAACACGTCCTTTGGTTGATAGACGGATATCTCGCCTACGCCATAAATGACGCAAGTTGGCAAAAGCTAGTCGAGCCTTCTGTATCCGTGCTGAGATTTCGTCACACACCAACCACAAGGGCTGATGAGACTTCCAAGATAAGTGAAGCGGTCGACACACTCAACTACTTCACTCCCTATCACTAGTTCGGGTGTCGATGTAACCCAATCCTGAAGCAACATTTTGCATTTCGAGGGAGAGAATCGCATCCCGAACATGCTTGCATTGTTGCTTAGAGTGGTCAGAAGACTCTGCATTTTGTCAGCGTCTTCACCAAATAAAACTATGTCATCAGCATATTCTAAGTCAACAAGTGAACCTCCCGGTAGAAGTTCAACCCCTGGAAATTTAGATGAGGAGAGTGTTATCTCTAAAAGTACGTCGACAAAGTTGAACAAGAATGGGGAGAGTGGACAGCCCTGACGAACACCACTTGAGGTAATCAATTCTGATGACAGTTCGCCATAAGCTCTCACTCTACCAGTTGTGTTCGAGTAGAGAGCCTTTATAAGGTTAATGTACTTCTTTGGTACTCCTTTCAGTGACAAACACTGCCATAGAACCTCACGATCAACAGAGTCGAATGCCGCCTTAAGGTCGAGAAATACTACCATTGTGGGGCGTCTGAATGTGTGTCTGTGTTCTAGAACCTGACGTAGTGTGAATATCTGATCTATACAACCACGTCCAGGTCGAAAACCGGCCTGGTTTTCTCTAGTCTGCTCTTCACGAGCTTTGTTAGGCGTCGAAGTATTATTGAAGCTAATATTTTAGACACTATATTAGTCAAACTGATTCCTCTGTGATTGTCACAAGAGGACTTTTGTCCTTTCTTATAGACTGGCACAATCAGTGATTGAGACCAGTCAGATGGGATTACGTCCAGTTCCCAAATTCTACCTAAGACCTCAGTTAATCTCATTGCTAATACTGGACCACCATCCTTAAAAATCTCAGGAGTAAACCTGTCAGGGCCTGCTGCTCTCCCTCGTTTCAGATTTCCTATGGCTTTTTCAACTTCGTAAAGACGGAGGACCTACATTAACTTGCCATTCAGGTTGACTGGAGATCGTGGGAAACCGAAGTGTGGCTGAAGGCCAGTTGAACTGATCCCTAAAGTGTTCTGCCCATCGATCCAATCTCCTGGATTGAGAATGAATAATATGTCCATCTTTCTCTGAGATTGTTTCGCTAACGGTCGGTTTCCTAATTCCGGTTTCCTTAACGAGTCTGAACAATTGTCTGCTATTACCTATTGCCGCTGCCTTTTCCATCTCTCTTGCTTTCGCTACCCACCACTGTTCGCGATCATTGCGTAGACTTCTTGTCAGCTTGCGCTTAAGCTGACTCCGCTCTTCATTATGTTCAGAGCCAGGTGGAATGAGTTTCCGAGCATCTATCAGTGCGATAGATGTTGCTATTTATTTATTTTAACACATAGATATTGGTACAAAGAGGCAACAAATACATATGCGCCACAAAAATCTTATTCGATATGTGTGTTTCCACAGCTTTTCGGATATCATTCCATGCTGCCTTGGGTGGGCGTCACCTACATGGCTGCCTAACTGTTTTCCTAGTTGTTCCTGAAATATACTCCTAGCTTGACTATCATTAAGTAGGACCCTAAGGGGTTTACTTGCAGCGTCTTTCCTACGTCCAGTAAGATGCAGACAGATACGCGACCGTACTAGAGCATGATCTGAATCTAAGCATGTGCTCCAGAATGAGCGACAGTCGTCTATGGAGCCCCTCCATTGGTTGCTGATAGCGATGTGATCTTCTTGGGTCCAACGTTGGGACGAATTAGGAGGTCTCCATGTTAAAAGATGTTTTTCCTTATGCTTAAAGTTAGTGTTTGCAAGGAACAGGTGGTTATATGAGCATAGCTGCAACAGACGGTCGCGATTATCTGTTCTTTAAGCCACGATGCTATAAGATCCACCCAGGTGTCTAAAGTCCTAGCTAAGGAAGTCTGCTGTCCTATTTGGCAAAGTGTTCGTACGTTAAAAGCTCCTACGTGTAGTTTAGAGCGTGGTTTCAGGAGACCAGGAATGGCGTTCCACGTACTCAAATCGTTTGCCATAGCGGTGCGAGGTGATAGACAGACGTGAGGAGGGTTAGTCATGGAGATAAGAGAGGTATTAGGAAGGATTTAAATGTGACCACCTTGGTCTCTTGTGCTGTTACGGGTAAGAGGGCTGATGTCACTTCCCGGCTGCCCACACCGTGGAAGGGTATTTCTTGAGGAACCTGAAAAGGAAATTGGATTAGTGTTGGTTTTGACGACCTGGGAGCGTGACTGTAGAGCCCAAGGGACAACTGCTTGAGGCCGGTCGCGCACGGCCTTTTTGTGGAAGGTTTTTGACGTGTTAGCTCCGTTCTTCAAAGGGCCTTACCGCCGGGGACGGAAATCCGTGAGGTAAGGTGAGGTGTGACATTTTTAGGGTCAAGCTTTTCTAACCCCACCCCTCCTTGTGGGAAGGCAGCATCGCTGCAGATGGAGGTTGTCCGAGGGAAACACCTTACTGCTGTCACACCCCTCTACAATCAGCATTACGACTTCGCCCTCAGACCTTGAGTTGCTGCTTTTAGTCTTACCGTTCTCCAATCGACCTGCCTGGCATGTTAGAACCTACAGGAACATATGCTCCAGCCAATATAGCTCGGTTGGGTCATCACGATAGGCAAGCCCGACCACCTTGTCAAGGTAGCAGCTTCGGTCGGGAAAGAGGAGAATAATTTGGACTGATCAATATTTCTAATTTTTCCTTCACTTTTAATATCAGAAAATACTGTGGAGTAGAGTAGATTAATACTAGTTTTAATATAAAATGAAACAAGTTGTACAACAATTTTCTTCCTCTTTTATAACGGGAAGCAATGAAATTATAACTTTAATTCAGTATAACAACCTTTTCTATACCAATAAGTACATTTAAATAAAAGATTAAGAAAGAAACATAAATTTCAGCTCATTTTGTATGTTTAATATTGGATAGTAGTAGAGTCCTTTTCATTAAAAATGTTGGCGTTTGTCATGATTCACTAACCTAATGTGTGATTTTCTAGCATTTAGACTTATGGGTATTGTGTTTAAATCTCGATGTGAACATCAACAGTGAGATGCAGGTGATGTTTTTTTGAAGAGTCCTGTGTAAGAAAAATACGGACGTTCTGTACTCTATTACTAGCCATAACCCAAATATTACTAAGACTCACAACTATGTTGGCATCCACACAGAGTGAATATATCCCAAAAGAGATTGATCATTTTCAGTTCTCAATATTAGCAAAGGGAAGCTCAAGCACGTACAAATAAAATATTATCAATCAGGCTGAATACGTTAGTAGCTATCTAAATTCATTTTCTTAATGACTGTTGGATTTGTATTTTAAGCGGCAAGTAGTGTACACAATTCCTAACATGAACATAAACAGTGAGGAGCAAGTAATATTTAGTTGGTAAGTCCAAAATATAATTAGTGTGTAATTACAAGCATTATCGTGTGGTTTGTTAAAAAAAGTCTGTAAGCCAAAAGAGAATGGTCGTTTCTGTCCAAAATTAAAAGAACTGAACAATAAAAACTCGACATTTAGTAGTAGATTCTGTTTCAGAGCATTGCTTCACATTTAAATGGACCTTTGGAGAGTTTACTTTTTATTTGCTCATTTGGGGATTAAATATTGGGACACTTCCTTGTTTGAACACTAAGCTATTACTCCCATTGGGTTGACTTCATTAGTTCGTGTGAAATACATCATTCCATCAGCACTATTGTATTACTCTTGGTTCTAAATTCTTTGACGATAGTTGGATCAACAAAGTTCGGGTCATTATAAAGTGCAAAGTAATTTTGAGTAATTCTGCTTTTGGATCAGATCTAGCGGAGAAATAACCTACTATTTTCATGAAACATTTACTGTTGATGATTATGAAAATAATTTGTATTAGAAGAACAAAAGATCTAGTGGTTATTTATAAAGTTCATTTTTACAATAAACCTAGATCCATGG